GTATCTGTATTTCTATTTTATGTTTTCCTGTCTGCTGTGCATGTTTGGTTCTTTTGTACAGCACTTTGGTTGGCCTTGTTGCTGTTTTAAGTGCTATATAAATAAATTGGTATGGTATGGTATGGTAGTTTGGATGTGAACCAAGGTTTATCATTATTGAAAATGACTCTGGAGCGTGATGGGATGATGCTGTCCTCACAGAAATGTAAATATGACGTCACAGTGTTTGTGTATTTGTCTAGACTGTCTGTAGAAGCCCTGAACAGGTCCCAGTCTGTGGTGTCTAAACACGTGCGTAGCTCCTCCACAGCTTCACTGGTCCACTTTTTGGATGTCCTCACCACAGGTTTTGAGAGCTTCAGTCTCTGTCTGTATGCAGGTATGAGGTGAATCATCTCATGATCTGAGAGACCCAGGGCAGCACGAGGCACAGCACGATAAGCACCGCTCACTGTGGTGTAACAGTGATCCAGCGTGTTTCCTTCTCTGGTCGGGCATTTAATAAACTGTTTATATTTAGGTAGTTCATGCCTGAGGTTTGCTTTGTTAAAATCTCCAATGATAATGACAAGGGAGTCCGCAAAATCCGCTCTACACTTGTGATCTGGTCCGTGAGCGCGCGCTCAGCCTCGTGACGGTGGGATGTAAACAGCGGCCAGAATGAATGAAGTGAACTCACGTGGAGAGTAGAACGGTTTGCAGTTTATGAAGAGATTTTCCAGAGAAGGAGAGCAGTGCTGGGAGATCACTGTCACGTCGGAGCACCAGGCGTTGTTGATAAAAAACAGACTCCTCCGCCTTCTTTCTTTCCTCCGGAAAGTTCCCGCTGTCTGTCAGCGCGGAGGAGCTGGAAACCCTCGAGATGGAGCGTGGAGTCCGGGGTCTGCTCGTTGAGCCATGTCTCCGTGAAGCACAGCACACAGGAGGAGGAAAAATCGGTGTTCCTTCTCATCAGCAGCGCTATCTCGTCCATTCTGTTGTAGAGTGAACGGACGTTGGAGAGGAATATCCCAGGTAAAGGCGTGCGTGTACCGCACCTCCGGAGACGCATGAGCGCTCCGGCTCTTCTGCCCCTCCTGCAAAGTCTCGCTCTTTTGGCCAAAAAGTGCACAAGTTCTGCAGCAGGCACTAAAAAAACTGGAGTAATGTCCTCGTGGTTTGAAATTCTGATGTTTAGTAGCTCCTTGCGAGTGTAGGAGCACGCAGACACATAATTAACACATCTTATCCACCCCTGGAGCCCAGCCGCCTTGGAACTTTTTATCTACCTTGGCGACCTCAACCACGGTTATGGATAAGCTACCCCAAAGTCCTCCAACTCAGCTTTCTCCATGGGATTGAGAAGGTCCGATAAGTATTATTTCCACCTCTCGACGACATCACTGGTTGAGGTCAACTGCACCACACTTTGACTGAACACGGTGTTAATAAAACACTGTTTTCCCCTCCTCAGGTGCCTAATGGTTTGCAAGAATCTCTTTGGAGCCGATTTTGCTATTTAAACAGTACACAGAAACCAGGCTCTGATTAACAGAGGAAAAAATGTTGAAATGGAAGATGAGTGTACAGCTTTCTTTCAGGAAAACTGTTATACTTCTTTCCAACAGCAGGTGGCGGTGTAAGCTTACTTTTACCGGTAGGAGTCGATGACGACTTCCTGTGAACCGTCCTGTTGACATCCGGTTGTTAGCCGTTAGCTACGATGTAGCACACGGTCCAACATGGTTCAAATCAGCATTTATGGACAGATTTAAAGCTTCCAACGTGGCGTCGCTTCACAAGCACGCCTTATCTGCATGTACACATGAGTTTAGGAACAGTGTCAGACTTTATTCAGCGTTTTTAAACACAAAGGTGGACTCAGTTAAAACGAGCTTCATTTCCGGGGTCACGTGACTTTACAGACACGTGCACATCGGAGGTGGGCTTTATGCACTGACATCAGAGTGAGAGGACGTACAGAGATACGTCACCAGCTTCTCAGCGAACCAAAATGACCCAAACAGCGGTTCACAACCAATCACAGCTCGTGACAGCTTGCTTCAAGCTAGCAGTTAGCATTAACAGTCTGGTCAAATTATCGCCCATTAAACTTCAAAAATGCACAATTTTACTGTGAAAATGTAACGAATCAGCCTTGGAACAGCTCCTGAGACGGCGCTCAGTTCCACAGACAGCGTCTTCCCATTTAAAACACGACTCGGAACGAGTCCAGTAAACAGAATCGGGTCAGACACGCAGAACCCCCGTTCATGCTACAGTTTCAAACAGAATGAAGCGTCTTTTTCTCTGCTTACATCTTAGTTACACAAACAGATTGACAATTTTCAGCTTTAAAATGAACACATTGACGTAATTGCAGCTCTCTGACCACCAAAAGCCTGAATTATGCCTGTACCAAGTTCAAAACTCGGACTCTTTCATGTGCCAACATGCAGCGTTATTTTACAACAACACAGATCTCGTGTCACACACATTTATATCTCTTTAGAAACCTGTCGGGCCACCAAATGTAGTAAAGGTGGGGGACAGCTTAACTGTACCTTCACTACTAATTAATTATTTAAATACAACGGGTTCTTTCTTTTTCGAGTTAAATTAATGCCATGTGACTGAGATAACTGTGAGTATTGTTTAATCAGTGACAGGAGACATTATTTTTCTTTGACCCATCAGAATAAATGCGGCCATTTATTTAACAGAATCAAAATTTAACATCAAAACATTGTACACTTGATTCGCTGATCTGGTTCTGATTAACAAAACTTGGCACGCTTTACTAGCAAGACAACAGAACATTTCTGAAGGCATCTAGATTGATTTACTGGCGGAAAGATTTACAAGAGGAGTTATTTAGAGGAAGATGGATGAAGGAAAGATGTAGGGTTTTTTTTTACCAGAATTAGCACGCTTCTTTCAACACTAGCTCAAACCTCTGGTACACTTAGCGCGCGACGACTCGTTACCTTCGCAGAAGATGAATCAGCTCCGGTACCGGGTCCATTTCAACGCTACCTTTCCAGCGTCTCCAGTTAAAGCGGCTGGTCATTGTCAGAAGTCGTGTGGTTTACTCCGCTAAACAGAACCAGCTCCCTTCGAGGTTGTAGGCGTTACGCCCGGGTAAGTTCACAGCAAGGCGCTGTGTCTCCGTCAGAGATTCCACTCAGAAGTGGAATACTCCAGAAGGCTTGAGAAGACGCCATCAAAGACTGAGTTCGACTCAGATCAAAGACTGAAGAGTCGAGAAGACTCCATGAAAGACTGGTCCAAGACTGATCCAAGATTCTATAGTTCTAGGAAGTGTGGACTTTTTAAAGAGTCCTCACTTCCGGTCACTTAGTACTTCCTGATTGGTTGAAACAACCAACAGGGGGTGGTTCTAGTGATGCCAGAGGGTTATTAAAAGTCAAGAGAGGGTTCAGGAATGTTTAGGAACGTTTAGTACAGACAGAGAAATGTTTTGAAGAAGTGAGAGGAACGCAGATTCCAGTGGCAGTTATTTACCGTCTGCTAGGTTTAAAAACAATACAGTTTGTTCTAATAACTCGTTCTCTGACTGTCTCTGACTTTTGACCGACATTACTGACTTCTCAATCAGACAGAAGATCAAAATGCATAATTACTTTGTAAATAGACATTTAACTTGATTTCTAAGTCTAATGAGGTTTAAAAAATCATTAATACTGTTTCACAGTTGATTTAAATGAGTGGTTTACTTTCAACATTAGAAATGATATGAACTAAACACACTTTTGATTATCAAGATATTGTAAAATAGTAATGATAATATAAAAAGAAGAGTGTTCTTTCAATTGATTAATTCAGGATACAACTAGACAGTCTCTGGATGAGCTAATTTGTATTTCTGGATTCAAATCAATGAAATAACAGTTCCTGTCCCCTGAAGGTCCTCAGAGACAGGTTGAGGTCGAGGCCTAGTTCACTCCACTGCTGACAACCAAAACCAGCTGCTCACATGGTCAAGAAGGACCAACAGCCTAATGATGGATCATTAGCACACTAATGGCTGATTACTATTCACAGGGGGTTGAGTGATACTAGCAATAACAGCATTGTAAGAGGGGGACAGTTGAACACGGAGGCTCCACCCCTGTTTAATGATGGACGATTTCTTTTCACAAAGATGGCCTCCTTTACTCCTCTCTGAGGAGTTGAGGGAGTATCAGAGAAACTGAGACGTTTATTTTCTAAACACAACGTCCCAGTGGCTTTTAAAGCCCAAAATACGTTAAAGACTGGTTCATCCCAAAGTGAGCATGTGAGCAGCTGGTTTTGGTTGTCATCAACAAACTGGTTGATCCACTATGAGAAGGTGCTATTTATACGACTGAGCTGAATACAGCACCTCAGACTGAAGTCTTTCGGATGAACGATGATACGTTTCAACATTTTTTTGTTGTTGTTTTGTTTTTTGAATGTCCAGAGGACCAGCTTTGACTTTTTTAGATTTTTCTACCTGGATTTTTGAGCATGCATCAGGATATTAACTGCTTCTTTGTCCAAATTCTAGATGACTGTTCCCTGTATCATCTTGGTGTTTCCTGTGTCTTGGTGTTGATGATGTTGACAGTTCTTTGTCCTGCAGGAGGTGAAGCAGTTCTATGAGGACTACCAGCAGATAAAGCAACAGCAGAAGGAAGAAGCTGAAGCAGAACAGGAAGCTGTCAGCAGTAAGAACTCTTTCTACTGTCTCCTGATGCATGCTCAATAATACATGTAGAAAATTATAAAACTGTTAATAAAGTCAGGTCCTTTGCATGGGTTTCAAAAAAATGTAGAAACGTTTTGTCTTTCATCCGAAAGTCTTCCTCAGTCTGAGGTGCTGTATTCAGCTCAGTCTTATAAATAACACCTTCTTATAGTGGATCAACCAGTTTGTTGTTGACATTCAAACCTAGCTGTTCACATGATCAAGGATCATTAGCACCTGATGGCTGCTTATTAATCACAGGGGGCTGGGTGATACTAGCAATAACAGCATTGTAAGAGGGGGACAGATGGAACACGGAGGCTCCACCCCTGTTTAATAATGGATGGGTTCTTTTCACAAAGATGGCCTCCTTTGCTCCTCTCTCAAACCATCGTTCCTCTCTATCCAGGATGTGAACATCTTCATCCCTGAAAGAGTGACCTCTGACCTGGAGATGAGTGTAGACCTCAGAGTCCTGGCCTGATGATGTTGATCTTCTGAGCTGGTCCATCCTTTTGACCTGGTCTGATCTAGGCAAGACCACATTTCAGCAAGTGATGGACTTCACAGAGAAGGCACGCTTAGCACAGCATGTCCAGTCCAAGACCCGACAACAAAATAAGTTCAATTTACTGATAACTCATCAAGCCTATCCCACTTCTAATAACAAAACTTACAACTTACGAAACACCACCTCTCTTTCTCTATTCAAGACTGCTCTGAAAACACATCTCTTTAGACTCGCTTATCCTTAACTTTGCTGTATGTATTTTATATTCTTTATGTATTTTATATTCTTTATGTATTTTCTTACTGTAAAGTGTCCTTGGGTGTCCTGAAAGGCGCTTTTTAAATAAAATGATTATTATTATTATTATTATTAAAACACTCAGTGTAGGACAACACTCCAGTAGTCAATTATATGCCAGGTAGACAGAAAAGTGGGTGAAGAATTTATCTGACAGACAGCTCACCCAGCCAGAGACAGAGATTCTTGCCAGGGGACTGAACTTTGCGGTTGCGCTAAGTAGAATTCCTCTGGTGGAGATGATCACAGCCACAGAATCAGCCATCTGCAACAACAAAATGAAAGAGGCTGAAGCAGAACAGCTCAGAATCAAAGTTTCATCCTGCCTCAGCAATGCCAAACCACCACCTTCCAACATCAGTAGAGAGGAGAGGGATGCACTCACCACTCTTAGCAAGGACAAAAACATCATCATTCTCCCAGCAGACAAAGGAAGGTGCACAGTGATTTTGAACCAGAAAGACTATCATGAGAAAGTTATGACACTCCTTAGTGACTTAACCACAGCCGCTGAAAAGAGATCCAGGAAGTGGTTAGAAGTTGATAGATTGCCTGAACATTTTGGAGCAGGACAAGGCTATTGACCGTATTCTGTACCACAGACTGTACCCAGGGGAGGCCACACCTAGTAAGTAAGTAAGTAAGTAAAACTTTATTTATATAGCGCTTCTCAAGATAAAAATCACAAAATGCTTCAACAAATCAGATAAACAAAAGCAAAAAACAAATTCAGGCAAAAGCAGATTTAAAAAGATAAGTTTTTAGCTGATCTTTAAAAGAAATCACGGAGTCCACTGATCGGAGAGTTTGAGGAAGAGAGTTCCAGAGTCTTGGAGCCACGGAAGAAAAGGCTGTATCTCCTTTAGTTCTCAATTTTGTCTGGGGGACAGTCAGCAGGCCTTGATCACAAGACCTCAGAGCTCTGATCGGTGTGTAGGGATGTAAAAGTTCTGTTATGTAATTTGGTGGTTGACCATGTAAAGCTCTCCAGGTTAAAACCAAAGCCTTAAAATCCACTCGATGTTGAACTGGGAACCAATGCAGTTGTTTTAAAAAGTGGTGTTACATGGCAATACTTTGATGATCCAGTCAGGAGTCGAGCCGCAGCATTTTGCACAGACTGCAACCGGTCTAGGGAGGTTTTTTTAAACATGTATACAGTGCATTACAATAATCCAGGTGAGATGAAACAAATGCATGAATTAACATTTCCATTTCTGGACGGGAAACAATATGGCTAAGTTTGGCGATGTTACGCAGATGGTAGAAACAGGAACGAACCAGAGACTTAATATGATTTTCCAGAGTAAAACAAGAGTCAAAAGTTAGCCCAAGATTTCTAACCGAAGACTTAGCTAATTGACCAAGAGGTCCAAGGTTCTGCTTTATCACTGCAGTTGTTTTTTCTGGAGCAAAGATGATTTACTTCAGTTTTCTCGCTGTTCAGCTGAAGAAAACTTTCTGTCATCCAGCTTTTAACTGAATCCATACAGTTGAGTAAGATTTGTATTTTTAAAACCTCATTTGGTAAAAAAAAAGATGTACAACTGAATGTCATCAACATAACAGTGATATGAGATATCCTTAAAAGATGACAGTATTGGACCAAGAGGGAGCAGATAGAGCAAAAACAACAATGGCCCCAGAACAGAGCCCTGAGGAACACCAAAATGAACAGGGCAGGACTGGGATCTGAAAGTAGAGGAAGCCAAGAAGACTGATCTATCGGACAGGTTAGAGAAATAAGTTGCCCTTGCTTCTTTAGCTGCATTGTTAAAAGAGGCTAAAAGATCCTTTAAAAACAGAAGATGCACCTGTACATTAGTTTTCTTCCACAAACATTCAGTTTTTCTGCAAGAACGCTTTAAACATTGAATGCTGTCATTTATTCACGGTCTGGGGTTAGAGACAGGCAATGACCTCTTTTTGATAGGGCAAATATTGTCTAAAACAGAGAGACAATGTTCATTAAAATGATCAGTCAGTAAAACTACATCATTAAAGGAGATAAAGTCTGTATGGTTTACCTAAAATCCACAAACAAGGTGTACCTTTAAGACCTATTGTTAGCATGATTAACTCTGTCACTTACAATGTTTCCAAATATCTGGCGTCTGTACTCATCCCTTTAGTTGGCAGCTCAGAACACCACATACAGAACACCATGGACTTTGTGGACAAGGTGAGGGATGTCATCATGGAGACTGATGAAACAATGGTCTCTTTTGATGTCACATCACTCTTTACGTGCATTCCTGTTGATGATGCAGTAGAGGTGGTCAGTTTAAGATTAAAATCAGACACCACTCTGAGCAGCAGGACCACACTTTCCACAGAACAACTGTGTCAACTCTTGAAACTGTGCCTGCAGTCAACCTACTTCACATATGGGGAGCAATATTATAGGCAGAAACATGGGTGTGCTATGGGGTCTCCAGTTTCTCCTATTGTTGCCAACCTGTACATGGAGGAGGTAGAAAAGAGAGCCTTGACATCCTTTTCAGGGACACCACCAAGTCATTGGTTCAGGTATGTTGACGACACCTGGGTTAAAATCAAATCTCAGGAAGTCCAACATTTTACTGACCACATCAACTCTGTGGATAAATACATCAAGTTCACACGAGAAGATGTAAAAAATGGCAAGTTGGCTTTCTTGGACTGTGAGGTCTCAGTCTCTGATAGAGGACTTTTGCAAACTGAGGTGTACCGCAAACCCACCCACACAGACCAGTGTTTGCAGTTTGACTCCCATCACCCTTTGGAGCACAAGTTAGGAGTCATCAGGACTCTGTACCACAGAGCAGACAGCGTCCCCACTAGCTCAGGAGCCAGGCAAGGCCAGATTAACCATATGGGCAACTGGGCAAGTGCCCAGGGCCCACGATCCCTAATGGGCCCAGAGCAGTGAGGGCACAAGCAAAATATCTGGTTATATCCTGCTATATGATAATCTGTCAGCCCGAGCCCTGTGCTGCACAGAGACCGCTGCGCTGCAATTGGGCCGCCTCGCCTCCTCCCAGCACCGGCCGCTGCAGGTCTCGGGTTTTTAGGCCCGAGCAGCAAAGCGCTGTGAAGGTCTATTGTAATCGCTCTGTTCATTAGGCCCGAGCAGCAATTTTTCCATCGAATGAATTGGCCTTTTTGAGGCCTGAAAACTCACCAAATTTGGCGGACGCATCAGGACTGCATAAAAATTACATATTTTAAGGGCGTTGCAAAAATTGGTAACTGAAACGGCTCAACAGCCCCACCTGGAAATAATTAAAAAAACCTCCTCCATAACCTTATTTTGTCGTACAAGCATAACATTTGGTACCCATGTCCAACTCCTCAAGATGCACAGAAAACCCTCTGGCACCAATTCAGTACGATAAACAGAAAGGAATCTTTGTTATAATCAGTAAATTTTTTGTTGCAAACATTCATTGATAATCTTGTTATTACATTTGAAGTCAACTAAGTTACAGTCATTTAATTTTAATGCTACATGTTTGTCAGTTGACCCTACAACTGGGTAACAGTAGACCTAGCCCATTACTGGACTTTTGATGAGGTATTTTAAGTTACTAATAAACAAGATGGATGATGATCAAATTTCTTTATGCAAGGCATTAGTAAGAATGAGTGATTATTATTATTATTGTTTCATATTGGCTAGTGTTTTTTTTCCTACAAGTGGCTGAGTGGTTAGAGCAGTCATCCTCTAATGCAAAAGTTTGGGGTTTGAATCCACCAGCAGTCACATGCCGAAGTGTCCCTGGGTTTCTTCTTGTTGTGCCATTAGCTCTAAAATACTTATTGAATCGAGTGTTTACTTGTGTAGGTAAAACTAGATGTTAAACATCCCGTTAAAATACACCAGAATGCAGGAAGTGGCATCTACTTTTAAAAATTTAGTGCCCCCCCCCCCCAACACACACACACACACATTACAAATGCTTTTGACGCCAGTGGCCAATTCGCTGCTAAACAAGTACGCATACGGTGTTCAGAGTGCGTTCGACTTAACTCAGTCTTGATGATTTGCGTCAACAAGAGGACATAGTAGTAGGAATGTGCAGTATGGCGTAAAATTCATATCACGATATGTATTGTGAAGGGTGGTGATAACGATATATATCACGATATCAGAGTCAAAGATTCTTTATTGTCATTCGCACCTCATGTGG